GCTATACTAATGACAAAAACATTACATATTCATTAGGCTGGCAATTTCTGAACACTCTTCTACACATTTTAGATAAATTCATCAAGGCACATAATATTTGCGACAGCATAGCCAACTACTCAGTAACAATGACACATGATCCTGATAGCAGATGCCGGGCTAGAGGAGGACACAAGTGCACAGACAATTGTTCGAAAGCATATCCATTCCAAACATACAGGTTGTATCTTAAGAAATTTGGCAATTCTTAAAATTTCAATGTCTGATCAGTAGTGCTAATCCCAGGGGTGTGTAAACAAGTACAATCAAATTCATGCATGTGTGCGTGTAATATCACCTCTAGTTGACAATGTTTTACGCATTAAAAAGCTTAGAATAATGATCAGGCATTGGAATTACAACAATAGATCAATTTTCCCTGAATAATACAATTGATATTTAAATTGGCATCCACACCTCGAATGAAAATTAGCAGCTGGGAGGTGCCACACATGTCTGTTGACTCATCCATTGCCACAGAAAAATGCACAAAATTCTTAGCATGGCTGGCAATTTGCTCCATTAGGTTTGTGCTCATGTCTCCAATTCGCCGGGCAACAGTATTGGCACCCAATGTTATAGTTTTAATAACATTAGATTTTTCCGGACAAAGTTCATCCACAATCTCTAGCAAACAGTTTTTTACTATCTCACCATCTGTAAAAGGCTTGCCATTTTTAGCGAGAATATAAGCCACTTTAAAACTAGCCCTCGTTATCAACTCATTTTGTTTTGATGCTTTTGTGCAAATTGATCTTTGAGAATTAATGGACTGCTTTAACTTTTTAAATTTCTCTTCACGTATATTTCCTTCAAACCGTGAGAAGGTTCGCTGGTGTTTGCTTTGGTAATGGCGGCGCAAATTGTATTCCTTCAATACTGCAACACTCTCATGACAGATGACACACAATGCTTGAATATTTCCTCTTAACTTATATAATATGACACATAGAATATTTCCTCTTAACTTATTTAATTTAAAATCTATTCTCAAAAATATTTTGTTGGAATAGCTTATAAAGTCTATTTGTGCATTGTATTGAACTTTATTCACAGGCGAAGAATTATTATTAGAAAACATTTCTTTGAGTCATCATAGTTAGTAGCCATGTAATCCAGCAACTGTCTTCTCTGCTTGTGACATTTTATATTCACAGCTATACACAAAACCCTTTTTTTGTTCTTAATTTTGCCTTGCAAAAACTGAGTTATAAAAACTGCTGGGTATATTTGTTAATGAGCCTTAGCTATGAAACTTTTATTTATGCCTTTGTGATTTATTAGCCTATCTTTGTCTAAAGCTTGGGAGTTTTATTCATTTTTTTCTACTTTTTAAGTCATCAAACAGTAGCTAGATCTTTATTGGCAGGCAAGATTGTATGTACATATTTAAAAATGTACAAATAAAAATTTTTACATAGGAAATACTTTATGAAATATCAATAAAACCCACTAATTGACTGTCATGTATATTTTCTTCTTGTATAATAAACAATATGCAATGGATAATGTATATATATCTAGCAACATGGACCTTCACCATGCATGCTGATGAAATGTTTTATGTATTTAAGAAACTAACATCATTGTATCTCATGCAGCTGATACACAAAAGAGTAGTCATGAATAAAAACTGCTGTAAAGGTCATGTATCTATATGTATTATCATTGGTATACTTAGAACAACATTTATACTGTAGTACCTATTTGTTTTAACATAATCTAGCTTATTTTCCATAGAGCAAAGAGTTTATATGATGCATATGATATTCAATCAAGCAAAATGCATAGGGAAAAACCCGCAATTTGAATATTTGATACATCCAAGGCTATAGGATTCATTGCTCGAATAACATTCTTTGTTTTTCTTGTCATTGAATGAATTGTACGTATTTGTAAGACAATGTCAGCGAGTTATGTGCACTAATCTTAAAGAAGTAGCTCTATCTCAATTGAGAGTCTCGCTTATGAGTTGCAAAGAGCTACCGGACGCAAAAAAGACAATACAAAATGCAATTGCTCTTGTGTAAAAAAGGATTTGTTACGTGGATAAATTGTTGGCTGTTTTCGTCAGCAAAACTTGGGATGTTTACAGCACTGACGAATGTAGTACATTGTCCATAAAGCTCTTATTCTAAAAGCCTTTGCCATGGAAGATACATATGTGATTAAAAACTCAAGGTAAAACCTTTTTGATCAACAACATCTCGCCCATAATTGTCTTTGAGAAGCTAAGCCGCCATATTTAACTGTTTTTTGAAAAGTTAACTATGCTCCATAGCATAGTTAACTTTAACTACCTTTTAACTGCATTTAGCGCTAACTACTTTTTATACAACCGACTTAACTGAGGAAATTTAACTACTTTTTAACTGCAAAAAGTGTAGTTAAAAAGTAGTTAAAGGACACATGCAACATAAAATTCGGATTGTTATTTTTGTACTTTACATAAAGGTATAGCTCCAACTAATAGTTCACCAAAGTTTGAGACTCAAAGGATAAATATTTTTGAAGATATGGAGCTTTAAAGTTGATGCTTTCCTGATAACGTATTAAAAATGCCCGACGAGCTAACGACGGCTACCGATGTCGTTGTGACGTAATAGTTGACATAAGCTAAACGCGGTCAATTGCGCGCTTCGTTCAAAATATACTTTGCCTGCATTAACAACACGATAATTTAGCATTGAAAATATGGTTTATTGTGCCGCATTTAATTATAAAAACGGTTCTTCTAAGAACCATCAAACGCAGCAAAAGGTTTCTTTTTTCGTTTCCCGAAAACAAGCGCATGCGAGATATTTGGATTGAAAAAATCCGACGCAAAAATTTGAAGCCAACAAAGAGCTCAAAATTGTGCTCGCAACATTTCGAGAGTTCGTGCTTCGTGCAAAATTTTGAAGCGATGCAATCAGTAGGATGGACAGCAGGACGGCTTCGCCTTAAGAAGGATGCTGTATCCACGATTTTTTAATACTCTGTGGAACCCACAAGTGTAGCCATCTAAAAGGAAGCAACCAACAAATGTTAGAACTGCATTTGAGAAGAGACGAAGGCAAGAGGTGATTATTATAGTTATATTTAGCAATATTTGTTTACATTTATCAAAAACTAAGCTATAGAGCATTACCAAATTGAGGACAATTTTATAATTTTAGATTATTGACGACGTTCTTGCAGAACATGACGACTTTCTTGTAGGCGACGACCACGATGTGTCGACATCGGATCGAAATGTTTGTGCGTTTTACCTCAAATGAAGTTTGTCTAAGATAAAGATGTCAAAATATATGTAGACAGCGAAACAAAAACATATACAGTGGTAACTAATTCAGACTAATGTCGTTTGATCTTTTCTTTATTATTTTAACTCATAGAAAATTCCTTAATGTACCTTAGAAGCGCAATGTGAAATGCCAAGCAGCCATAACAATCCGTCCGCAAAAACACGTAAGGTCAAGAGCCACTCAAACAAAGTGCCAAATATGATAAGTAGAGCTATAGACTTTCCATTTCGGCCGTTTTGATTTTTGTGAAAAATCCAGCAATACGATAATTTTATTTAAAGGTTGAGTTAATTTCAACAAAAAATCATAGCACACAGACGACGTCATGTGAAATTGAACATTTTGAGGACAGCGCTGTATGGTCTGATACAGAAAGCACGTCGACGATGAGCAATAGCTACAATGGATCAGACTCTCACTCGTTTTCTTCACTCTCAGGCATAGGTCCAATGTCATGTGTGTACACGACCATAGCTGTTTTTTACGACAGCTTCGTTTCTACACACTGTGGCAAACTCTTCCTCTTGTGTGATACAAATATGATCGCCATGTATCAAAGGATCAGTATTGTTTACCTCTTGGCAACATATACTTTCCCGTCCTGTACTCATGACAACACAAAAGCCACATTCGCACCTAAAAGATAAAAACATTGTTTTTACTTTGGGAAAAACAATGAAGCATCAATAAAATGCAACTAACCGTTCAACATTTCCAATTCTGTGAATGTATTTATCTTCGCTTTCCAATGACGGAGAATTGTCATTACTATGACCACCTTGCGCGTTGGCCAATAGCTCAAACATGTAAGGTTGTACCTCATTGTTATTGATGACAATATCATAATCGGCATCTTCTTCAGAAGAATCCATTAATTTTTGTTAAATAAAAAACAGTAATAGCAAACTACCGAAAGCCGTGCAAGCACTGCGTGCAAGTCGTAGAACGATATAAGAACGAAGCTTGTTTACGTCAACTATTACGTCACTCTTTCCCAGTTCCCAGACTTAAAAAATCTCACGGCGTTTTAGCAATGGTCATCGAATATCGTGTTTTTACCGATTATAACCCTAAATATCTTTTGAAATATTTCGCGGACGACTTTGAAACTTGGTACGTCTTATTTTCACGCTATAGGCATTACAATAAAATAAAGTTGTCTTCTAGCTTGCATGTGTCCTTTAAGAGCTTTATACAACCGGCCCCAGCTTTTTAAATTTCACAATGTGCTTGAAACGGAAGTAGGAAGTTGGGACAAAAATTGACGTAAGCCACTCTTGCTTGTTGGCTTGCGTCATAACGTGAACTTTGTGCACAAAGTTTAATTTGTTGAAAAATATTATTTTTTTTCTTACGTGTCTCTGCGGGCCGGATTGAAAGGCCCAGCTGGCCGCATCTGGCCCGCGGGCCGTAGTTTGGAGACCCCTGGCATAATGTATTGTGAATTTCAGACGATTTTTATTGTTTAAAAAATCACTTCTTTTAACACTCGCAGCGAGTGCACATAGAAAATGGACAAACCATGAGTAAGATTCTGATGGCCAAAAATGAGTCGGGTTGTCAATTCTCAATTCTAATCGTCAAAATGTTGTCAAAATGAAGACGACCACAACATTAGTTATTCAGAATTTTAAAGTTTTGGTTTTTCTCGACCCAATCCTCCACCATTCACAGTTGCTCCGCATACTTTCTTATAGTCACGTGATTAAATGGAATGAAACATGGAAAGATGGCGGAATTCCAGTGGAATAGTAATTCATAGAGATGCCTTAGTAAGGTTTTATTTTCATTCCTTTTGAACTTTTTAAATCATTCAGTCATGCAGAAGAACGTGAAAACAAAGAACGTGTTCCTATCTGGTGCTTTACAAAGAATTCTACTCGATAAAGAAACAAAAAAGTCTCATCATTCACAACTAAAGAAAGCTTGCGAAACGGCTTTAGGTATAAATCCATAAGTAATGATTGTAGTTATTGCTGATGTATTTAGATTCTACTTGCTCTATGTTTTTATGCATTGTCAACCAGTTTCTGCATTCGCTATCAACAAAACATTAAGTGTAGTAATCCCTCATTCAGGATGTCAACGAACGCTGTCGATAGTATCTTTAAAATTGCTCAATGTATGATTTGTACTTTTTTATACGTGACAAACAGTTATTTTTTAGTGTCAATCGCTTTTTCATGTTCTTCTGTTTGAGTTATATGTATATATGTTTCTGGAGAAATGTATGTCAACGTGTGCAATGAATATAATGTACGGCTGTGTTCAGGAATGTTGCTTTACAAAATGATCTCTTTATGATTTTGATCTATTCTAGAGGAAATAAACGCTGTTCAAGGAAATGAAAAATCTACAGGGTAAGTTTAATTATGTAAAGTTGTCCAATTTTCTTTCCAACTTTCCAATTTTAACATGACCAAAATGAGTTATTAACCTTGAATCTTAATTATTTCACAGTTATATCCAGACTACGCATGCGCACAGATTTGCTAAGTTTTATTGTTCAAAAGTTAGATTTATAAACCAGAATGTTGGTTTGATTTATTTATAATAAAATCTTCAGGAATGTTTCTTCTGCAACTCTACCTCCACTACCTGGTCAGCAAACATTCATTACAGCAGATCAATATTTTCTTCCTTTTGAGTTGGCTTGTCAAACAAAATGTGCCAGGATTGTCACCATTGCACTTGACTGTATACAAGTAAGTTGAATTTTTTTGATGTGTTAGGACACTTGGAGTCTTTAGTTGTAAGAAATAGATATAATATTGTAAACTCTTTCATCGCATTGTTATTAAGTTATTGCAATTTGATAGAACAAAATTAGTTCCTGCGGTATTTTCTTTTGTTAGTTACCTCCTAAATTTCTCCTAGAAATTGTCAATATTGCTATCCTTATGTATCAACAGTACTCATCCCCAAGCCTCACAACTTCACTTGTGTCTTTTCACCACCATTTTGTATTCCTTCACAAATCTAGGTCATGTATTTTGCTTCTATAAATTGGAGTATTTCAAACATTCTTTTTTTATAGAAACTCATTGCTTATGGTCATATTGTTGGCGATACACCAGACTCCATTGAACCAGAGAGGCGTTTAATTGACAGAATTATCAAGACTATTTGTACTTGCTTTACCAGTATAAATACTGATGTAAATGTTCAAATACAAATTATAAAGGTATTTATAAAAAGTAATGTCAAACTGTTAAAGTATTTAATGAGAGAAATGATATATCCTTGAGGAATTTAAAGAGGGTAATGACATATGTATCCCTATGTTTTTTACATTTCATGTGCCATGAGTTTTTTAAATATCACATTGAATAATTGGATTCCAACAAGATTTAAAAGGTCTATGTGTTAACTGTGAACAGTTGAAAATGATCTTATTTTTATAATGTGTATATTTTTATTATCTATATTTACAGGCTCTTCTAACAGCTGTTACATCAAGTACTTGTGAAGTTCATGAAGGAACTTTACTTCAAGCAGTTAGAACAGTTTACAACATTTGCCTTGCCAGTAAAAGTCTTATTAGTCAAACAACAGCAAAGGCAACACTGACGCAAATGATAAGTCTTGTGTTTCAGAGAATGGAAAGTCAAGCTGTAAGTTTTGTTTTGATGAACATAATATTTTTGTATCATATTGTACATCAATAGACATGTCAATGTTGATAATATTGTATCATATTGTACATCAATAGACATGTCAATGTTGATAATATTGTATCATATTGTACATCAATAGACATGTCAATGTTGATGATATTATATCATATTGTACATCAATAGACATGTCAATGTTGATAATATTGTATCATATTGTACATCAATAGACATGTCAATGTTGATAATATTGTATCATATTGTACATCAATAGACATGTCAATGTTGATAATATTGTATCATATTGTACATCAATAGACATGTCAATGTTGATAATATTGTATCATATTGTACATCAATAGACATGTCAATGTTGATAATATTGTATCATATTGTACATCAATAGACATGTCAATGTTGATAATATTGTATCATATTGTACATCAATAGACATGTCAATGTTGATAATATTGCATCATATTGTACATCAATAGACATGTCAATGTTGATAATATTGTATCATATTGTACATCAATAGACATGTCAATGTTGATAATATTGTATCATATTGTACATCAATAGACATGTCAATGTTGATAATATTGTATCATATTGTACATCAATAGACATGTCAATGTTGATAATATTGTATCATATTGTACATCAATAGACATGTCAATGTTGATAATATTGTATCATATTGTACATCAATAGACATGTCAATGTTGATAATATTGTATCATATTGTACATCAATAGACATGTCAATGTTGATAATATTGTATCATATTGTACATCAATAGACATGTCAATGTTGATAATATTGTATCATATTGTACATCAATAGACATTTCAATGTTGATAATATTGTATCATATTGTACATCAATAGACATGTCAATGTTGATAATATTGTATCATATTGTACATCAATAGACATGTCAATGTTGATAATATTGTATCATATTGTACATCAATAGACATGTCAATGTTGATAATATTGTATCATATTGTACATCAATAGACATGTCAATGTTGATAATATTGTATCATATTGTACATCAATAGACATGTCAATGTTGATAATATTGTATCATATTGTACATCAATAGACATGTCAATGTTGATAATATTGTATCATATTGTACATCAATAGACATGTCAATGTTGATAATATTGTATCATATTGTACATCAATAGACATGTCAGTGTTGATAATATTGTATCATATTGTACATCAATAGAGATGTCAATGTTCATAATATTGCATCATATTGTATATCAATAGACTGAAAATGAAAATGAAGAAAAGGATGATAGCAATAATTTTAAATCAGAAGAAATCAGCAAAAAGGAGGAGAAAACTGACATCAATCCTTTACCAAATGGTGAAATCCATCATGGCGACGATAAAGTTGAAGGTGTGAACGGTAAGAAAGAAATTCTACTTGGTTTTGGAAATTTGAACCTCCCCCCTGAAATTGTCTGAGAAGATAATCAACCACCCTGTGCAAAAAAAAATTGTCTACGTATTTCTTTTGTTTTCAAAAACCGGCTTTACGACGATATTGCTGACCAATCCTTATTTTTCAATATTTTTGATGGCTTTCATTTACAGATAGCGAAGTCTCCGTTTCTTCCACGGAAGTTAAAGATAAGGATGTTAATGATACAGTTATCATGAATGAAGAATCAATGGTTGAAGAGAAGAGTGTAAAAGATGTTGTTGATGGTGTCAGTGATGCTGTGAACGATGACACAAAACAAGATTTAGTCGAAACAACAGTTGACACTAATGTCTCGGAGTCTGTTGATAAAGAACAGCATTTAAATGACTCAGACGCGTTGAACAATGCTGCTGTAGATGACTTGCCTTCTAAGACTTTTTCAAATGACAATACAAAAGACAATATAGGTGAAGAAAGTGAAGAATCAGTGAAGATTGCCAAAGAAAAACATCTCGATGGAAGTTCAAATGTTAATGACGAGTCCGTTAATGGCGATTCCCCATGTGTGACCCAGGTACAAGATGTTAGTGATCCATCTGAAACCAAAGTAATCCCACCAAATAGCGTTGATGTTGATTCAGAAGCAAAGACAAATAACTCGACAACTGGCGAAGTTTCAGAGCCCAAGGAGGATGATGGGAATGAAACTGCACGAAGTTCCGTCTCCGAGTCTCAGTCTGATATGCCCAGCGAGACGTCAAGTGAAGGCAAGCCACCTCAACAAAGATTTTCTCATATCACCCAGAAGGATGCATTCTTAGTGTTTAGGTCCTTGTGTAAACTATCAATGAAACCGCTTGCGGAAGGACCGTTGGATCCCAAGTAAGTTAGCTACAGTTTTTTGAGATGTATGTTGATAATGTATGAAACTCTCATTGATCATAAGTCACTTCAAAAAAGTGGTTTGTGCTAATTTATATTGTACTATCAGTTCATGTCATCATGAATATCTTTACTACAGAAACTTTGACTTTTTTTTGATTCTAAGATACATGTATCAAACTGTTCGTTTATATCTTCTTTATCCAATATTACTTCAGAAGGAAACCTAAATCAAACAAACTTTATTTATACTATAGATATCTCTAACTAAGATCATAATTGTTCTTAAAGATCATGCAGTAAAGGTCATCTCTTATTGATATAACTTTATGTACTACATAAACAAATTGAACTCAACTAAATTGACCTGACATATAAAAGAAAGCTCTATCAGTACTTTTTTAAAGTAAGATTTTAGCATTAGCTTTTAAGATTTACTCGCGATAAAAAACCTTTCATTATTTTCAGATCGCATGAGCTCAGATCTAAAATTCTCTCACTGGAGTTGCTGTTAACTTGTCTACAAAGTGCCGGACCTGTTTTCCGTACTCATCCAATGTTTATCAACGCTATAAAACAATATTTATGCGTCGCATTATCAAAGAATGGCGTCTCATCTGTTCCTGCTGTGTTTGAACTATCGTTGGCAATCTTAAATTATAAAATAAACACAATGAAACGCGTGCGTTGATTGTTCTAGAGCTGAGTTTGCATTAGCCAGTGCAAAGTACATCTGAGCTCAACCAATCAAATCAATCGAAACAATAAATCAGTCGAAGAGAATTTGCAAATTGATCATGAATACATTTTAGAGAAAAATGGAAGCGTTTGTCTTTTCACATTATTGTTAATAAAAGAAATAAAAGATGTTTTCGTGTTTCCACTGCCTTATGCAAGCCTTGGAGAGGTTTGTGAGAACCTCGAGCACGTGCAACCCTGGACCTTTGGTCTCGGGCTTGCACTGATCATCTCTTATGTTCTCCCAAATGTCTCCTCGGTTTGCATAATCCTGTGCAAACACAGTAAACATCTTTTATTTCTTAAAGGGGAACTCCACCCAAAAATAATGTTGGTCTTAAAAGTTCCATTTTTATGCAAAGGTTACTATATTTTTGAAATTTTTACATCAGCTATTTTATTTTTGACAAAATCGCGTCTTCAAGTGCGCTATTTGAGCTGTTTTGAGGCTTAGCAGCGTGGGCACTGAAAGCGTCAGCGGAAATTATTTTGACGTCATATCGTCAAACCGATTTGGAGTTGAGTTTACAACAAAGTAAAATAATAACGCACAGCCTAGCACAAAAACAAAACAATCGCTTATAATGGCTTTTTTGGAAGAACCTCGGCCTAATTCATCAATCGATAGCGAAATGGAAGACAATCCAACAAAGAATATTCGGCCATATCAGTTTGAGCCCGAATGGCCGGCTGATGAACACGAAGAAGCTCACCAGTTTGAGGATAACGAAGAACAGGAATTTTTGTATATTGACGATGAATCTCGGCGCGACAATCTTGAATGGTGGGTAGTAAAATGTTATATTATTCTAGACCATTGTTTCTATCTCAAAAGTACGTTTTCAGTTTTTGAAGTTGACCACGTCCACACACACATAATACTTTAGATTTTAAAGTTTTTATTGTAAGATACAATTTTGTTGAAGTTTTGACATTTACTTTTCAAGATCCTTTCTTTTAACATATTCAGGTGTCAATGTGGTAACTGCCAAATAATGGATAATAACGAGGAATGTTTATGCTGCAAAGAGATTTCCAATATTTGTGACAAAATTTAGAGGCAGTAGAAACGAATGAGACCACCGAAGTCCCTTTGTGCATTACACAACATCCTGGTTTTGAGCCTGTTTGTCTTAACAGGTGGGTTTTACAAACAGCTTGGTACCAGTACAAGCAGCAATATGAGGTAGCATATGATGGGCCCGAAGACAAACTGTACCGCCATATTGCATATAGACAGTTGGCAAGATGGTGCTGGGGTGTCTTGGGTAGAGAAGTGAGAGTCATCTTGCCATCATGTGCAGTTACTGCATTAGAGAAACATTTCCTCCACCTGGCCTTGCAGAGGAATTTCAATTTGAAGGCTTCCACTATGTTGATGAATGAAGTATTTTATTATGATATAGGTATACCCATTACAATTACTTTGTATGTCAATATTAAAGTGGCATAGCCAGCTCATTTATAGGTCATGCTATGCACATTTATTATTATTAATTTATTACAAAAAACCAGATTTACAAAGAAATGATTATAAATGTGGCTTGGCTATTACACTGGTTATAATATAACTATAATTAATTACATGAATAGTTTGTGTAATGCAGTGGTGAAACTAGCTATAGCAAAAGGTTTTGCTATGTTAATATTTAAGAATGAACATTTTTAAGTAGTACAAAAGTTGTCTTCACTGATTCAACGTCATATTATATGGGTATGGCAAAACCTATTGCCATAGCTAACATCACCACTGACATTTTATGCAAATCTAGACTGATGTTCCTTTACAAGTACTTCTTTCCTGGGTGGACATGATTTAGAAATGTTCTTTGGAAGATTCTCGCCATGATGTACAAGTTCAATCTCCTCAGTTTTGCATGCATTCACAACCTCCGCAAGTAGTTTATCAATGTACTGGTACTCTTTCTTTTCTTTCATTGCTTTTACAACCCATTGCTTCTGTGTTTTAGCAAAAATCATTTTGTAACGGTCTTGCCCTTTGTTTGTCCCTGACTTAATAACTGCTTTATCACGTTTAATATTGTTGTTGTGATCTAATGCTGCTAACTGAGTGCGGGCTACCATCCCAGGAAATGAAAATGCTCTCGCTTTGGGCAATATTTCAGTAAAAGGGAATGGTAAACCTCCAACTCTCCTGTGTGACAAAACTCAGATAGCTTCCGAGTCTTTTAGAAGCCTCTTGTCACATATCACCTTCTCTGCAGCGATATATGCTTGTGAAGTAGGAGATAACCACTTCTTCTGCTTTGTTTCTTTTTCTGTTAATTGTTGGTGGCAACATTGATGAAAATATGTGTTCCCCTTCCAGAAATGCTTGTTGGAAATGTGGTTAAGGACAGACTTCCATTTTTCCACCAATTCTTCTGCATTCTTGTTACAACTTGCAGAGCACCACCAAAGATGATTAGAAATGGACTTAATCCAATGGGTCAAGTCATCATTTCCCTTAATGTTAGCCTTCTTTGTTAGTTTTTTTGTGACAGATTTAGACAAATGCCACACATCATATTGGTGATCAATATGAGGGTGTTTGTTTTTCATAGCACTGGCAATCGAAACATGTCTATCTGTTGTTATTCGCTTAACAGGAACTAGCTTTTCAACTTCAGACAGACATCTTTCAAATGCTTTTTTCTCCATAGCATTAGAAGAACTGACTTCAGTACTTTGCACAACATTAAAAGTTACTATCTTACCAGAGTCAGCCATCATTGTATAAGTACCATACTTGGCATTATGCCCTGGGCTATCACGTTCGTTTAGTTCGTCCAAATTGATCTGCACTCTGATTCTTAGTTATAGAATTTTGATTAAGAAAGAAGTACGACTTTTCTTATCCAATAACAACTCTACTGCGTAGTCTCTAATTTTACTTCTATTTATACCAATGGTTTCGTGCGTAGGAAATAAATTTTCGTCCCAAATGTGACTTAAAAAGGAAATTATGTACAATAATTAGGAAACTATAAGTTCTTACTTTACGTCAAGGAAACTACACCTTAATTCTATGCACGAAAGGCTATTTTTACAATGGTTTTAAGTAGGATTATTTTCTAACCGTAATGAGTTACACAACCATGTTTATTATTATTCAATGTTTATTAAGGGCAATAGATTGGTTTCACATCAGTGGAAACTGTTGTTAAGGTTGAATTCGGAGGACAAGCAAACGGCATTACGCACAGTTTCCACACAAAGAAACCTTCGTATTTTTTAAAAAATAATATTAATCGACATTCAAGTTCTATATGTAGTGCGGAAACTGTGCGATAATGGCCTTTATGGATGTGAAACCGTTCTATTAAAACAGAATACAAATAACCAGCTCAATACTTGCATGTAAGCTATAAAGTTGCTTGTGTATATACCTACGAATAAAAAATTCTGACGTTTCGAAAAGAAACATTTTGTGATTAGGAGAAGCATTTTGACGCAAGTTTATTATGACTGTGCAATGACTTTACATAAAGCTTTGAGGAGCAATTGACGATATGACGTCAATACAAGCCGCTGACATATTTCTGCTCCCACGCACCGGATGCCCTAGCTGCAGCATTTCAACTCATTTTTTGTGAAAATATTGAATCAAACAAACAAAAAAATTGCCGCATATTTATTTTCACGGGACAGACAAAGTTTTAAGACCAACATTATTTTTGGGTGGAGTTCCCCTTTAATTGAAACATTGAAACGTTTTATAACAACGTGCAATGCACGAGATAGTTTGTAAATGTTTGTTTTGACGTCAAACTCAAACTAAGATTTTACGGATAATAATGTAGCACAGTTCTCATCCTTTGGATCAAAATTTTTAAAAGAATTACATAATATATAATATAAATATATTTAATTTTTCAAGTGTTTTTATCAGAAATCACCCGTACTTATTTACTAAATGTATGGAATTAAAGTGCTTTTACATGCTTAAACTGCGAAATTTGTCGGTGTTAAAAATAACCAGGAATTTTTTATTATAGCTGTGTGCCGTCGTTTTTTTATATATTCACCCTTCCATGAGCGAAACTAGAACGTTAATTTGGGAGTATATATTCATATGTTCAGCTTTGCCCTGCTGATTTCTTTTGTTTGCGATGTTAATTTCAACAGAAGTCAGCAGGGCAGAGCTGAATATATGAATATTTACCCCGCCCAATTACGTTCTAGTTTTGCTCTGACATATCAGTATGTTATTTGAGAACTTAAATGTCGTTGTTAAGAAATCATCGTAAAAACGAGAAAATTGATTTTATTTTTATGCCTTACTACAATACAACATATCTACATGCACTTTATCATTTAAATAAAGCAAACATGTTGGAATATTTAGACAAAAAATACATTTAATTGAGTAATTGTATATCGTTTATGATTAAGTTGAAAACAGCAAAAACCATTCATTTTATTGTGAATTTGCATTCTGAAATGAATGACTAAAGTATATAACCTACGATGTTCACTTTTGATTTTATTTTAATATCTTGTGTTATGTTTACATACTACGAGGCTGTGGCTTAAAGCAAGATCAATCAATGGCTTAGTCATCCTACTAGTTATGGTATTGCATAATGTATTGTGAATTTCAGACGATTTTTCTTGTTTAAAAAATCACTTCTTTTAACACTCGCAGCGAGTGCACATAGAAAACGGACAAACCATGAGTCTGATTCTGATGGCCAAAATGAGTCGGGCTGTCAATTCTCAATTCTCATCGTCAAAATGTGGTCAAAATAAAGACGACCACAACATTTGTTATTCAGAATTTTAAAGTTTTGGTTTTTCTCGACCCAATCCTCCACCATTCACAGTTGCTCCGCATACTTTCTTATAGTCACGTGATTAAATGGAATGAAACATGGAAAGATGGCGGAATTCCAGTGGAATAGTAATTCATAGAGATGCCTTAGTAAGGTTTTATTTTCATTCCTTTTGAACTTTTTAAATCATTCAGTCATGCAGAAGAACGTGAAAACAAAGAACGTGTTCCTATCTGGTGCTTTACAAAGAATTCTACTCGATAAAGAAACAAAAAAGTCTCATCATTCACAACTAAAGAAAGCTTGCGAAACGGCTTTAGGTATAAATCCATAAGTAATGATTGTAGTTATTGCTGATGTATTTGGATTCTATTTGCTCTATGTTTTTATGCATTTTCAACCAGTTTCTGCATTTGCTATCAACAAAACATTAAGTGTAGTAATCCCTCATTCAGGATGTCAACGAACGCTGTCGATAGTATCTTTAAAATTGCTCAATTGTTGTGGCAAACAGTTATTTTTAGTGTCAATCGCTGGTTCATATTCTTCTTGAGTTATATGGAAATAAACGCTGTTCAAGGAAATGAAAAATCTACAGGGTAAGTTTAATTATGTAAAGTTGTCCAATTTTCTTTCCAATTTTCCAATTTTAACATGACCAAAATGAGTTATTAACCTTGAATCTTAATAAATTCACAGTTATATCCAGACTACGCATGCTCACAAATTTGCTAAGTTTTATTGTTCAATAGTTAGATTTATAAACGAGAATGTTGGTTTGATTTATTTATAATAAAATCTTCAGGAATGTTTCTTCTGTAACTCTACCTCCACTACCTGGTCAGCAAACATTCATTACAGCAGATCAATATTTTCTTCCTTTTGAGTTGGCTTGTCAAACAAAATGTGCCATGATTGTCACCATTGCAGTTGACTGTACACAAGTAAGTTTTTTTTTGATGTTCAAAATAAACGATTTTAAAAATTGCTGCATAAAGATATTATATCTTTTCATTTTTAAATTTTAATTACTTTTCTTACACTGAAACAATCATTACTAACTGATAATCACCTAATTGAAAACAAGGCATCTTACGCCCCGTCCACACGTATCCGGATTCATTCGTTTCCCCAAATATTTTTTGCAGTTACACTTATCGTCCACACGTATCCAGCGAAAACACCTACTGTAACTGCAAACTTTTGAACGGTCTCCAGATTGGAAACTTTTGAAAACGCATCAAATCCGGACATGTGAGGACATACTGTAACGGAATGATTTCAAAACGATGACGTATATCGATGAAATATAATTTCTACCTACGCACCGCTGCCCTAATCCAATCCACATTTATCATGCGTTATCCTATGCATTAAAATGGCGCCAAAGTCATTTTTTGATTTCAACTGTCCTATTTTCGAGCAATGTTGCGTTTATGCGATTTATTTTTGCCGCCTTAAATTATCTAACGTATTATGGAAAGAGGGAGAGCAGTTTTGATACGGCTCATTTCAATGCCAGTTGTCAGAAATGTGTCCTTAAACATTTTTGTTATTTTATATTCTAAAACGGATCTCAGTAAAAGATCCACTTCATCATATGTCCACATAAAAGCTTCATTCTTACTACTTTTTTTTTAATATCTTGATGCACTAGCTTTGTCGGATATTTCGACATTTTATAGCCAGTTCATTATTCGTATTAGCGCATGCTCTGTAAGTAATAATTGGGTATTTGTATCGTTTTCGCGGCTACGTGTGGACACACAAAAACGCATCAAATTTGCATACATGTGGACGCGTAAAGTTTTGAATCCGGAACAAATGTTTGCAGGTACAAATGAGTCTGTATACGTGTAGACAGGACCTTGAATTCACTAACATAAATAATCCCTCGTGGCTTTGACTATGTTCTAAGACGGTTAGAGCTTAATTACTTGTGTCTTATGGGATTAAGAGACCCTCGCATTAGATAAAGGTATCTCTATCTAATCCTTGGGACTCTTAATCTCATAGAACACACGTGATCATGCTCTAACCCTTACCACAATGTAAGAATATACAGAAGAGTCACTCGTGTCGGAACCTTTGATGATTTTGTCCTCGCGCATGTCGTGCCGCGCATGGTGGCCGCCATAATTCCAGCTAGATGATTAAGGTTTTTGACTTTTTCCAAACCTTTAAATTGATCCGAACTTATTTCTTACGTCAAAACATACTTGAATTCATTACTTAGTATTGACGTCATTTAATTTTAATGGTTGGAAACAAGTGAGAAATTCTAATTATCTGGCTAAAATAATGGCCAACATGAGGACGTGTTGTACACCTGGGTGACCCTTCTGTATAATCATTACTCTGTAGCATTGTGCTGTTAGTAGTCACACGAATGTAAACATTGTGAACAGATTTGGCCACTCTGTGCCCAAATCTTTCAATCTTTAGTTGTCAATATAAGAGACCACGTCTTGACCACGTTCAACGCGTTTAAGTATAAAAATCGTTTTGAATCTTACAATTTCTTTTGCGTTTTAATGTCGTTATGCAAAGTAACGATGCGTGATGTTGTGGAGTAGGTTAGATTCATAAGACCTTAATCAATTTAGAAACTAGTCTTTAGTTTTGACCAAATCTTCATACAATCTTGCAGTCATATCTTGATAGGTTAAGGTTCTGAGAATGGTTTATAGGCGTTCTGATTGACGTCACCAACATCTTCAAGCCCAAAATCAATATTAGCACAGAATCATGACTATACAGAAGGGTCACTCAGGTAGCCAACGTGTCCTTACAATGGCCATTATTCCAGCTAGTTGATTAGGGTTTGTTACTGGTTTCCAACCATTAAAATTACATGACATCAATACTTAATAATGAATTCGAGAATATTTTGACTTTAGAAACGATTTTGGATCATTTTGAAGGTTGGGAAAAAGTCAAAAACCCTAATCAACTGGCTGTAATAATGGCGGCCACCATGCGCGGCGCAACATGCCTAAGAATAAAAACATCAAAGGTTCCAACACGAGTGAACTTCTGTATATTCTTATTCTGTGATAATATACTGTGAGAATGGTTTAAGGCGTTCTCATTAACGTAACCAACATCTTCAAAACCAAAATTATAAATTAGCGTTATTTAATAGGCTAAATATGTTTAATTAATAAATAATTGACGTAACATCAAACGATGCATGATGTTGTAGGGTAGGTTAGGATTCATTAGACCTTAATGAATTTAAAAACTAGACTTTAATTTTGAGGAAATCTTCATTGAATTTTGCAGTCGTATCTTGATCTGTCAAGGTTCTGGGAATGGTTTAAGGGCGTTCTGATTGACGTCACCAACATCTTCTAGCCCAAAATTATAATATTAGCGTTATTTAATATGCTGAATAATTTAATTGATAAATAATTAACGCAATATCACAGGAAAATGGTCAATTGCTACTAGCATTTCATATATATTAATGTAGGGAGATCATAGTTCTTTTGTTTGACAACAATGCGTTTTGTTTTGAAAATTAGATTTGATAGATATCCGGTAATTTGTTCAAGTACAAACAATGTATTTTAACCCTATAGAAGCCGTTTTTGCTCAGGCAACAATCACCAAACGAAAAGGCACGTTTACGAACGTTTGAAAAGGCACGGCTCCCAGTGGGTTAAACAATCATGTTGGACAAATACATATAATGACATGCTCAACACTATTTATAAAGATACTATTCACTTCAAGCCACATATAAACCACGAGGCGTCATGGAAAGTAAATGTTGTTCATGAGATGGAACAAGACTTTACACATAGACGACAAGTATAAAGATTTGTGATTGTGCCAATCAAAATAAAGTTGTTGCCTTCAACTCTCTTCGATGACATGTTATTTGAAAGCCGCGATGTACAGATATATACTATCAGTATTACGTCTTAAATGTTGATAGCAGCAGCAAAAGCAAATTTGAAAGAGGAAAATCCTTGTTTCATAATCATATATGAAAATAGATCCTACGGCTGGAAACTACAAATGTAAGCGACCAAACTGACGATAAATGGTAATTTGTTTTTGGATTTATCTCTATTGTTCTTGTTAAAATCTTAATGGTTTTCATTAAGGCTACTGATTTCTGGTTTGTTTCTTCAATGTCACATTAGTTATAACTGAATATATGCAATGAATATAAATACGCTAAATGTGCCATCTGTCTCCAATGCACTATGTGGTTGAGTGCATAGAAGTGCTTTTTTCAGAGTTTAAGGTGTAGACTTGCAATGAACGAGAGCCGTAACTATTTTCTTGCTCAATTTTCTACGACTGTCTACCATATTTTTAGTAGTAGAACCTCGGGGCAAAACAGAACGCCCTTAAACCTGATACTTACCTTAACCCAGCAAGACATGACTGCTAGATTTAATTAATATTTGGACAAAATTAAAGTCTAGTTTATAAATTCATTATCGTCTCATGAATCTTAACCTACAACATAATGCATCTTTGCTTTGCATACCGACATTAAAATGCAAAAAATATGTAGATTCTGATGAAAATTTTTATTTAAATACGTTGAAGGATAATTACTTATGGTCTTTGTGAAAGGTGAAAAGCTCCTAAAGAGCCAATCACAATAAAAATTTTATTCATGACAAAATTAAACAAATGTTGACAACGGAAAACTAGTCATTTAAACGTTGTAGAAAGTAAGGTGAATTCTGTCTCTTTACTGACGAAGTACTGAAGTATGAGTTGCATGGAATAATCAACTAGTCTTAATGGTAGGCCTCGTAATATGAAAGCTTTCAATGTAAAATGCTTTGATAACGATGAAGCCTTTGATCGTTTGAAACTTGTTACATCTTTCAAACTTAACCGGCTAAAGCTATTCGTGCAATGTTGGTGAATGTCCTACCATTTGGATAGTCAAACAGAAAACATATAACAATTTCCCATTCTCAATATATCTGATTAAGAATTTAAAACGCAAACTAACATCATATGTAGAGTTCTTCATCATGAAATGTCGTACATATTTTTCATATTTTTATATTGTAGATCCCACATGGATAGAGTTGTGAAAGTCCCTTTACCACCTGTGTCATTCACTTCATTTACTTTTACTAGTTTGTCATTACTCATGTGTCATGGTGATTCATGGCCAAGAATGTTCATTTGCAGTTTGGACTCTTTGTGGATGTCAGTTGTTTGTTCATATAATGATGATGGGTCCCATTTTTATATGAGCCCCCCAAAAGGTGGTCAGCTGACATTCACAGGAGATCAAATCTACACTAAGCATTCTTTGTGTGATTATATAACTGGGGTATTGAAGTGATCCCTTCTCCTTCACTTGAAGTTACCATAAGAGAGCATTGTAAACAGTAATCTATCGAAATGGCGATTCATAATACCAGGAGCCCCTTTATTGGTTACATCGATTATTTTGTGTATGGAATGGTACAAACATATTGAATGGACATTGCATAACGGCATATGAACGTGTGAACATTAATATTGAAATGATTGGACTATAATCTACGAAGATGGAAAACAAGTGAGTGGAAAAACATGATCTATGTCTTGTGGTTTGTAAGTTGAGTAGATAAGTATTAAAATTAACTTATAGCTATGAGTAATTGCATGAGATATTCAAAAATGATCCTGATGGTCTATTTTTTCAAATTGAACTATAATCATGAAAAACACTCATATTAGTTAAAAAAAGTCAATAAAAGATGTCAATTGCTGTGAGAAAATAGCTGGCTTTCACTCGCTCCTTTTTAATAATTTATTAAACGTTTATAAACAAAATTGCAATGCTGCAAGTAGGGTTCATTGAATTTTTAAGATAAAGATGTTACGATATACACGTTACGATATACATGTTACGATATACACGTTACGATATACACGTTACGATATACACGTTACGATATACATGTTACGATATACATGTTACGATATTCACGTTACGATATACACGTTACGATATACATGTTACGATATACACGTCAAAACTGCGCTGTAAAAAAAGTGAAAGAGACCTACTAAGACTCCTGCATCCGACGGACCAGGACAATGCTTGAAAATCAGGTATTAAAGTTTTGTTCTTTTCAAAATATATAATTTCTGATTTTATTCATTCATTATGCTGGCATTTATAATGTGTTTTTTTATAGATTAGCTATGTCTGTAGGCGTAATAACTAGACATAGAATGAACAATCAAGTTGGACAGAAGCACAGAGAAACATTGCATACTATTAATCAGTACAACGCATTTTTCATTCAACCTTTAAAAATTTCCGTAAAACTAAATTTTCACAATTGTCAAATTTTCGGACAAAACACACGAGTGAAAGCCAGATATTAATGAAAGTCTTAATAAAGCAACATAGAAAGTTTGATGGAATGAAATCTAGTAGACATCAAAAATAATTTGTATGCAAGTGGTCCTCATTTTGGTCATTTCATTTTTCATTGTTATTGGTAAGTGAATGATCAGGTCGAACGTACTGAATAAATTTTTCATATGTTTTATGTATGAGCAGCTATTAGTTTTTATTTTTCGTCTGTTCTTTAAAATTTTTGTTAACACTCTGCACTCTTTTATTTTTTATTCTCAACTAAAGTTTTCGTTTCTTTTCTTCAAACACAAAATATTTGCGTTGTCAATAAATATGGTAGTCAGCAGACCTTTTTTGTCACCGCTTTTTTTGTCGTCGCTTTTTTTGTCGCTTTGTGAATTTAAGATACGAACGACGAAGCTATTATCTGACTACGATGCATGTTAAGGTAGATCATCGGGATCATTGAAAACAACTAAAATATGAAACATCTTAAAACAACAAAAATTTTACAAAATTTTTCTAAATTTTGATCTTTTTATTTATTGGAGGGTTTTTTACCGGACCACCAGTTTTCCCTCCCATTTCGTTTTGTTGGAAAAAAAAAACAGTGTCCACATTTGGGGCCAAGCGAAGTCATTTGTCATAACATTATTCATTGTAGCTATCATGAATTTTCACGTTTTTTTTTATTCCTCGGCCTTTGGGTATATTTCTCAAAACACTGCGTTTAATAAATATAATGGCATACATTTTGAAAAAAATATGTACGCAAGTTTTCTGTTCTGTCAGATCTTCTAAGACAATTTTTTTAATCTTCTGCATCAACCGACTCAGCGAGAATAAAAAATGATTTTATAAAGTATGGTAGTGTGATTTGCGTACATAATGAAGATTCCATGATTCTTTTATTTCACTAAGTAGACGTTTTTACTTAAAATATTGCTTTAAACATGAGCAATGTGACGAATTTTTACATTACTCACGGTAATACGCTTAGCCCAATAATATTAGCACACACCATTCGACAATTTTCTCCCCTACCATGAAGTGAGTTGTTTTATGTCTATACCAAATACATTCCCAATGATATAGAGAGATATGATACCACCAAATACGCAGAGATTAATCTTGATAGTAGATAGTTTGAGACTGAGATTTTTAAACAACATTGTGCTTCTTAGCGGCACTGCACATCTGAGACTAGCATTATCTTAATGCCTATTTTCCTTGCATCCTTTATTGCTGTATCGACAGTGTTTTTCTCATAGCTGAGTAATTATAATGTGTGCAGTTGATGTTTGAAATGTATTCGTAAGTTACAATGGTTTATTTAATAACAAAGGTTTTTTGATAATATGAAGTGAATTTTGCCATAATATCCAAGTACGGAAGTTTTGATTAATGAATTTAAAAAATCCGTTTACAGTTTGCAAAATCGTGTCGTAATCATTGACATTAAAATCCTGTCTTAGATCAGTGATCATCTATTCCTGAGTTAAAACTTGTGAAACTTTATAATATTTAGCAGTAGTCCTTTGGAATTTGACTAATCTCAATGTTATCATGTACTCTGCATGAGGTTCTTATTTATGTATTTTTATTTAGCAGTCTTAAGGTTTGCTTTTATTGCATCCTTTACTGTTGTACCTACAGTGTCCTTATTGATCATAAGTAATTATAATTGCGTGCAGTTGATGTTTGCCGTATATTTATAATTTACAATGGCTTATTAAATTGAAAAGGTCTTTTATAATAAGAAGTGACATATGCAAGAATATACATGTGTGGAGTTTTTGATTAATGAAGGGAAAAAATCCATTCACAGTTTCAAAATTCGTGTCGTAATCATTGGCATTCAAATCCTGTCTTAGATAGGCGATTCTCTATTCCTGAGTTAAAACTTGTGAAACTTTATAAGATTTAACAGCAGTCCTCTGGAATTTGACTAATCTCAATGTTATTTTGTACTCTGCATGAGGTTCTTATTTATGTATTTTTATTTCTATAACAATTGTTTTTAGTCAGTGATGTATACTTAGTTATATAACTAGAATGTTCTACATAGATGTCATTAATGTTTTATAATACTGTTTGTTGAAGGAGATCCTGGCTCACTCTTCATCTTCGTTCGTTATTTAAATGTGTTCATGTAACAAAACTTACATGGATAAAAGATTGATGTAACAGTAAGGTATGAATTACGATCATCATTTTTTAAGCTGATATTTATGTGGTCGCGTTCTTTATATTAAATCTCTCGTCTTTGTAAGGTATGCGACATGTAAAGAACTAAAGCAAGCATAATTTTGTCTACTAGGTCGTCATATATGAAGTCTTATTGCTAAAACGAAGGTAGTTTGTGGAAAGTAAAGCGAGATTCTAAAACTATATTACTAACTTTACATAACAAATTTGCTACTGAAGCATCTTGATAATGTATGACCAAACATTCAAGAGAAATTGTATTTATGTTGATATACCAACTTTCTAACAATCGACAATAAGCTGCATGGTAAAGGACAGTGAAACCTGTTCTAAAATATGGGAGGCAGATTAACATGAGAACGTCTTCTACATGTAGGACGCTGAATTTTTCTTTAGAAACTATACTTGTCGATGAAAAATGGGGATCTGTAAAATTTATTTAGGGAAGGGCACATGTCCAGTCATGAATCACCTCTCTTCTTTGCTGACGCCACTTTTGACTAACCTCTGTGTGTCCAGCAAAATGTTGTTAATTGTATTGAGCAAATTATTCATTTTAAAAGTAAGAACATTTGTAAAATAAACAAATGTTAGACACAGGAAGAATGTATTTTTATTTAGCAGTCTTACGGTTTGCTTTTATTGCATCCTTTACTGTTGTACCTACAGTGTCCTTATTGATCATAAGTAATTATAATTGCGTGCAGTTGATGTTTGCCGTATATTTATAATTTACAATGGTTTATTAAATAAAAATGGTTTTTCATAATAAGAACTGACATATGCAAGAATATACATGTGTGGAGTTTTTGATTAATGAAGGGAAAAAATCCATTCACAGTTTCGAAATTCGTGTCTTAATCATTGGCATTCAAATCCCGTCGTAGACATGTGATTCTCTATTCCTGTGTTAAAACTTGTGAAACTTTATATGATTTAGCAGTAGCCCTTTGGAATTTAACTAATCTCAATGTTATTATGTACTTGCATGAGGTTCTTATTTATGTATTTTATTTCTATAACAATTGTTTTCGTCAGTGATGTATACTTAGTTATATAACCAGAATGTTCTACATAGATGGCATTATATTTTTTTTATAATACTGTTGGTTGAAGGAGATCCTGTCTCACTCTTCATCTTTGTTCGTTATTGAAATGTGTTTATGTAACAAAACTTACATGGATAAAAAATTGATGTTACAATAAGATTGGAACTATGATTACCATTTTTAAACTGATATGTATGTGGTCGCGTTTTTTTATTAAATCTCTCATTTTTTGTTAGGTTTGTGACATGTAAAGAACTAAAAGAAGCATAATTTTGTCCACGAGGTCGTCATATATGAAGTCTTATTTCTAAAACAAAGGTAATTTTACAAAAAGTAAAGCTAGATTTTATATGTATATTACAGACTTAACAACTTAGCTAAAGAAACATCTAGATGAAGTATGGATAATCATGCATGAGAAATCATATCTAAGTTGATATACCAATTTTAGAATTATTAACAATAAGCTGGATGGTAAAGGAACAGTAAAACCTGTTCAAAAGTATGGGAAAAAGTAGAATAACTTGAGAGTATTTTCTATTTGTATGATGCTGTCTTTTTCTTTATAAACTGTAACTGACACTAGTGCCAGTCTTCAAGAATCGAAACAATATTGTTGTTAATGTAAACTTACGAACGCGTAAAGTATTAGTACTTCTAACTCTTTATCGAAAATACACGAATCATTGCGATCTGGATGTAAACGGGAACAATCGGTAATCATACTTTACTTATATTCTGTTGTTTTGTTTGTTGTTTGTTCATTTTCTATCTAATTCTAAGTACATTTTCTGTATGTATCTAGTTGACATCTACTATCAATAATACGAAACGTTGCTTGCGGATGCTAGAATTTTTATTCTGCTGGAGTTATACAAACTATACTTGTCTATAAAAATGGGAATAAGTGAAAGTTTATGTAGAGGGAGGTAACATATTCAATTATGCATCACCTCCCTTTTTTGCCGACGCCACTTTTGACTAAACTCTGTGTGTCTTGAAAAATGTTGATGATTGTATTGAACAAACCATTTATTTTGAAAGTAAGGAAATTAGCAAAATAAGCAAATGTTACACACAGGAAGAATGTATATACTTACAGAAGAACAACGCGACTGAATCTATTTTTTGTGAAATGTTGATTCATACAACAAAGTGAGCTGTCACAATTTTGCTTATGATCATGTTTGTTTAACAGTTTTAATGTTTACTTCGATTATGCCGAAAATACATTTTCTGTATGTATCTAGTTGACATCTACTATGAATAATACCAAACGTTGCGTGCAGGTGCCAGAACTTTTATGCTGTTGGAGTTATACAAACTATACTTGTCTATAGAAAAAATTGGAATACGTAAAAATTTATGTAGAGGGGGGGGGGACTCGTCCAATTCGAAAATTAAACGAGACTTACATGAATTTTAAGTTTAATTGAAATTCTATGAGTTACTGTTCAGGAACTGGGAAGTCATGCGAGATAGAGCGCGCGATAGTTTTTACTCATTGCACTCATTGCTTCACTCATCTTACAAAGGGCGGTTGCCACTTTCAAATTCTTTGATGTGACTTGCACTTCTTCGCTTTCTTCCATCATGTCACCTTGTTTATCGTGTTCAGCAAATTCCAGGAGTGCCGCTTCATCTCCGACATCATCTCTTGTCGTATACTCTTCACTTGTAGAAGCCATAATTCAAGAAATTTGTAATATAGTGTGGAAAGGAACTTTTTGTAGCTGATCGCTGTGAAATCTATGCTCGAACTGATCTTGATATCGCGCGCTCTATCTCACACGACTTCCTAGTGCCGTAGAACAGTGACGGAATAGAATTATAGATTTATAGTGCCATTGTCGCACAGCATAAGCGTTCTGTTGTGCGGAATGCTAAATCACGATTCTTTTGACGACAAATGTTGGTTCATTACCACGAGTATTAATATCAAAAAATGCTTATCCAATTCGTCTCTTCAAGACTTCAACTCAATGCGTTACCATGCATTAATCAAATGCGTCGATAAAATGCGACCATCAAAAATGCGTATTGAAACAACCAGAAACAGCGTTTGCAGCCTCTATATATACTAAACATTCAGCAAGATAAAATTACAAAGTTTCCTCTTTGCCACGATTGGAAAGAAGTTCTTCCTCAGCAACTCGATGCTTTAAACTTCCCATGACAAATGCATGTGCGTAATTTAACGTAAATAGTTCCCATTTTGCAATGCTCTTACTTCTTTAGTAATGTTCGTGCTTACAGAAAGAGAAAGATACTTCACTTGTTTTGATTATTTATGAAAATTTCTTCCCGTATATCATTTTATACTGATAAGTTTTACATCGTCCATATTATTTTTGATAAATTGATAAAATTCACGACAAGCCAGGTCACGTTGCCAGAAAAACTGTCTGTTGCTCATTTCTTTTGCTGTATTTTAGTTTTTACAATTTTTATGAGCACAAAAAGGTTAAAGCCACAAAGAATTCAACATAATTTATGTATTTTTTAAATGATCCTTTTATTCGTTTAAAAATGACTGACTCAAGTAGTACCAACTATTGTCTGACTATAGCTGCTGATCTTTGGTTTGGAAACTCAAACTTTGACAAAAAATGGCCATTTGGATCAATATTTGGATACATTTTGGCCTTTTTTCTATTCTAATAATTTTTCGGAATCATATTGGTAATTTATTTTAAAAGTCTATGTAAAAAACATAAATCTGGTGAGAACCATCTATGAAGAATGAACATGATTGCTAACTACATTTCAGCTGTATCCAGTTACAAGGAAGTGAATCAGAATGATCTCGTGACGAGCCCATCCTTTACATTTGAATACACACGTCTACATTACAACACAATGAAAAACAAAAATGAAGAAATATTTCATTATAAAACTGTGAATTTACGTTGTGGAACGAAGAAATAAATGTTGAAATGTAGAAATAGTCGTTTTGGTCATATTTGGTGAGTAAAATTTTACAAAACATATATTTTAAAACATTATTGTTTAGCTACTCGTTATATTGTATCACAGATTTTACTAACGTTTTATATTTGAACTTTGATATAAGTTTTTCAATACGCCGTTGATTTGTTTAATTTTAAAGTTTTGTAACTTATTTTTTTACCATTATTTTTCTTTCTTTTTAGTGTGAAGTTCAAACAAAGGCTTCACGATTAAAACCAAAGATTCTTCATTAAAGTAAGTCAGAGTATTTACAGCATTATATTCTAAATAAATTTCTTGTTTGAAAATGGCTTCACCACCTCAAAAACTGAAGATTGAAGCAAACGGATTTCGCTTAAGTAAACTCTTGATAAATAAAGGAACACAAGCTTTGAAAATAACATTACAGTTTAATATAAATTTTCGTTCGTCAAACCTAAGCGATGAACTTAATAAACCCTCAAATAAAAGTACATTGGAATCATTAAGAAAAAGAAGCGTCATCAACAAAGAGCAATGGAACCTTCTTTATCCATCAACTGGTTTGCCAAATCTTGAAAACTTTGATATTTCATTAATGACTGTCTTATTGCGTAACATATGTGGTCTAACAGCGCCAAATGGTGGATGGGATAATCTTCCTTTCTCTTCAGATACTTCAATCTCAGCAAATATTGCAAGAATAAAGTTTTATCGAAACAAAGTGTATGGTCACATTACTACAACTAGTGTAGATGACAGTGAGTTTGAGTACTTGTGGCAGGAAATTTCAAAAGCATTGGTTGGTTTGGGTATTCAACAAACTGAAATAGATGAAGCAAAGAAAGCTCCTCTCAGTCCTGATGAGGCAAATCATATTGAAATATTGAAAAACTGGTATGCAGGAGCAGATGTCAAGAAGCTTGGAAAGTGTAATTTTAACGGTCTTATAAAAGATCTTAACAAAAAATACCTTGAAGGCACTAGACAATGGTTATTTGAAGAACTCGACACTTGGTTTAACAATAGAAGTGAAGATGCTTCTAATGTCATGATTTTAATTGCCGGTCCTGGCGTTGGTAAAAGTGTGTTTGCTGCTGAGGTGTGTCGACAATACTCTGCAAAGAATAAACTTGCTGCTTGTCATTTCTGCAGGTATAATCGATCCGATGAGAGGAATCCTCGAATGTTGATAGAATCATTGGCTAGTAGCATGTGTGATACAATATCAAATTTTAAAAGTAAACTTAGTGAAGAATTACTGAGAAATCATTCCTACAAATCAGTCGCTGATGCATTCCGTGTTTTATTAAATAATCCATTGCATTTATTGGAAGATCACGAACCTATGCTTTTGGTTATTGATGCCTTAGATGAAAGCCAAGTTGATGGCAAAAGTGAATTGTTGGAATTGATTGCAGAAGAGTTTGACCGACTGCCTAAATGGATTAAAATCTTCATCACCAGTCGTCCAGAGCTTCCTGTTCAAAAGAAGTTGAAAGACATGAATCCTGTGGAAATTACAACTCGTCCTCGTGATAAAACAACGAAAAGACCTGCACAAGTATTTGAAACATCAGTTGAACAATCGCGTGCAGAGAAATCGCTACGTTCTTCAGTCATTAGTTAAAAAATGTGAGGGATCATTTCTTTATGCCTATTACGCCCAACTGAGCTTGAATAAAGAAAATATTGAGCTTACTTACGAAAACATTCAACAATTGGTCCCAAGTGGGTTAAGCAGTGTTTACACAAAGCAATTTGAAAGAGTAAAAGATATAACGAAAGAAAGTCCGGGAAATTCTGTTATCTCAGAAACCACTTTTATGCAATTTCTTGAATTGTTGGCTGCCAGTCTGGAGTTTTTACCATTAACTTTACTTTTTAGCTATTTAGGTTTTTCTGGTGACATCAAGTTTGAAGTCCGCAGTAAAATCATTGAATCGTTATCTCAAATTTTGCCAGTTTACGATGATTGTTTAACCGTGTATCACAAATCTCTCATTGATTGGTTGAAATCAGATGGTTACGAACAGCATGAGTTTACAGTTAATCCAAAAAATGGTCATAAGTTTTTATGGCATGCTTGTGAGAAAGTGTTTGAACAAATTAAGTCGATGAACATTTTTGAAGATCAGATGAACACTGCTATGATTAAATATGCTTTGAAGAATGGAGTCTACCATATGATAGAATGTGGCGAAAATGTTCACTTTAGCTGGGCAGTAGATGTCAAAGTGGTTTGTGCAAGGTTAATGGGTGTAGAAGACATTGGCATTTATACCATTGACTCTGAATTGCGTGAAATCATTAAGGAACGGCGTACTTTCTTGAAAAAGATGTACTTGAGGAGCTACTATTTCATTTATTGATGACGTCAGTGAGAATGAGATATAAGTTTGGTCATAGCTTAATTTATTTACAAATTATTGCAAACGAATTGATAGCAAAACGAAAGAAGATTATTGGCAAGGGATTTATTGAAACAAGGAAAGTTTGTTTGGTTTGAGGATTTAGACACAACATATTTAACAAACCATCATCATTTGACTGTCTCATTACGTGCTAACGTTACATCTCTTTGTGTGTCGTCCAATGAAGAACTTCTTGCTGTAGGATATGAAAATGGTCAAATATCTATTTTTGAACTTCCTGAATTTGAGCAACGATGCACTCTCGGCACTGCACTTGATGATTCAAGGTTCGATAAGTGGGATAATGTTAACACAATTATGTCCCTGTATGACATCTATGACTATTCAACATTAAAGAAATCCTGTTTCGTACAAGGAAACATCTTTTGTTGCTCCTTTTCACCTACCGGAAATAGACTGGTAACTAGTGATGGATCTACTGAAGTAAAGTTGTGGGACGTTAACAATGGACGTTTGTTATTATGTTTACAGTCAGATGATGTCGTTAATCGTTGCTCTTTCTCAGGTTCTGGTTTGTTTATTACAGCAAGAAATGATGGAGGTTTTCAGTTTAAGTTCACTGCATGGAATTCATTAACCTTGCAAAGAATTGATCGACGCTGTGTTGTTGATTACCAAAAACTACAATGCACCGATAAATCTTCAGAGTTCTTTGTTACAGTCTTTGGATATTGTTCGTATGTTTTTCAATTCCCAAAGGCATTCGATATTTTTGCAAGAAAAAATAGGTATTCACTATCTTCAAATTCAAAGACAACCCACCATTATCGTAATTGTTTTATTATCATAAAACCAGAATGTAAAGCTTTCTGAAATCACTCAGTTGACAAAATACAACGATCAAGGAGAAATCGAGTTTTGTTTACCAAATGTTAGTTGTCCATGTGTTCGTAGGAATCTTAACAAAGTCCATCCAATCTCGTTTAAGGAATTTTACGTTGTGCCGTATTTTTCCAAGCTTAAAATTTTCAAAACTGATCATCTTTGGAGACCTTCATTTATCTTTGAGAAATTGAAAATTAAATGTTGTTGTTTTTCACCGGATGGATCTTTTTTGGCTGCTTTCGCTGTTGGTGACCACGTCAACATTCATATTTGGAGCATTGAACGTTGCACTATTATTCAAACTGTACCAATGCAACTGAAGAATGCATTAGGATGTTGGTGGTCAGATGGTTTACTGTGGATATGGGATGGTTCTGATCATCTTATGAAGATATCAACTTCGTCTGAAAATTTTGTAGATTCTATCAGACAAAGAAATTAACATTGGATTTAAACCTAAGAAAATCTTAACATTTGGTGATGTCTTAGTTTGTATTGACGAACAAGATTTTGTTCAAGTTGTTAGAATTACCAAGGGTGAGATACAATACAACAAAAGACTTCCTGTCGATAGTTCAAAATTTAAAGCAGCAGCTGTATCACCTGATACTTCTGTTATTTTAACTGTAAACAAAACAGAATACACATTATGGAAATGGGAAAATAACAACAATGAACTTTACTTGAAACCTTGGCATACTGAAAAAATACCCATAACAACTGTCATTAAAAAATTTGTTCCACAACAGGTAACTGTAACTGATCTAGAGTTCACTTGCTGTATAAGTGATAGTAAACAAGCAGTCATGGCATTTTTTAAAGGCATCAAAATTAAGGACATTTATGTAATTAATGTTCACAAGAATGGTGATGTGAATGCCATTTTGCATGATGTCGGGAAACTATATTTGGAATCCAACCTAGTCGTACACAAGTCTTATTGCATTGTAGTGTCTTTTGAGTCATTGCTTGCTGTAGATGTAAAGAGTGGTGAAATTTGCGCTGAATTTCACGAAGGAGAATATTTTATGACTAATATAACTATTCAATCCAACACAGGAACTATAGCTTTAGTGCATGGTTATTGTTGCAGAATTCAAATTTTAAAACTTAATGTTCCTGAATAAATACATCAACTCAAACTTTGATAGTAAATTCAAAAACCTGTTGAGAAAATTGCACATAGATGTTGATGGTCGTAAGGATGGTTGCTTGTTTCCACCTACTATAGTTTTCTACAGAAGAAGTATACTTATTCCACCAGGCAATCTTTAAAAAATTATTTATATTTACCAAAAATAAATTTGGACCAATTTTGCAAAAGATCTTTTAAATTTATCGGTACTATTTCTTGGAATGTCTTACTTCCTGCTATTAAAGATTGTAAAATAATATCTATGTTTTGCAATAATCTGAAACGATATATAATTGCTTTTTATAACACAAATGACTTGTAATTAAAAAGAGAGCTTCTATACTAATTGTTTCTAAGATTCTACTTGTAATCTTCATAAATGAATTGTCATTTAAACAGGGCATCCTCTAGATTTGACTACTACTGTAAGATGCTCTGTGAAACTTATTATTATGTATTGTACCTCTGAACAAATTTCATGTTGATGATTTACTTTTTAATAAAAATGTATGGTTAGATAATTTGGTTATTTTTATTTAACAAATATATAACATTTAACAGTTGTCTATACAGTTATAGATACACCGGTATGACGTCATTGTGATAAAAACTGAGTGGCCACGAGCCGCCGGGGCAAATCAATGTTTGAAAACCGTTTTTTTCTTTTTTTGCTCAAATGCGTCCACTGCTTCAACTAGGCATTCTTAATTTCTTTATTTGCCCATTCAGGGATATATTCAGGTAAATATTCAAATAAATTCTCCGTTCGTTTGTCATTTAAAAACAAGGAATTTTCTGTGACCTCAATTCCGTGTGTCTGTCCTGTTATAGATCATAGCTCTCGAGTTTTATGGTCATTAGTTGAAAATTGTGAGAGATCATTTTTGTTTGTATATTATGTACATTTAACAGTTGTCTATACAGTTATAGATACACGGGTATGACGTCATTGTGATAAAAACTGAGTGGCCACGAGCCGCCGGGCAAATCAATGTTTGAAAACCGGGTTTTTTCTTTTCTTTTTGCTCAAATGCGTCCAATGCTTCAAATTTGAGGCTTATGCTGTGTTTGCACTATATACAGGATTTGCTCATCACGATATCTTCATTTGTTTCAAAGTTGTAACAGTTTGGAGTAAATGTATATTAAGTTAGTAGATTTAGTCAATTTAATTTTGTTTTTGACATTGAACGATATCAATGATTTTAATACATAGAAAATTTAACCTGTAACGATAGTACAAAATAAAACAAATTCCGAAGAGGGACATCTCGTTTTCTTGATATTCAAGATATTACAAGAGTTTGAAATAAAAGATGGTGTAATATTTCGTCTTTATTCCAAAGACATCGTCAGACTTATGGTTTACAATGCAGGCTGCGAAACGTTTATATATTTACAAGCGGAAATGACAGTTATGTAATTAGAGAACTATAAGACTAAACAATCAGGCAGTATATTTACATTAAAATAGAGATAGTTTCTTACAAGCTTTAAGACCACTATTAAGTTGTGGCATATTGAGTATTATCAAAAGTGCTTCTAAGATGAGAAGTTGATTAGGATTATTATTTTTACAGCGATATAAGATTTTGGTGTTACTAGGAATCAAATTACAAGGATTAAGTGGCACGCATGTGAGATCGGGGTCGGAATGAACGTCAGGAAGTGAGAAAAGTTGTGAGATGTAGTTGGCGTCTGGACAAATGAGTAAATGTTGTGAGATAGCACTAGAATTATTGTAATTAGTGGCATGTTGGGTTAGTTACAATTACAATAATTACAATATTATTGTAATTACACTAATTACAATAATTACACTATTATTGTAATTACACTAATTACAATAATTCTAGTGCTCATCTTAGAAGCACTTTTGATAAAACGCAATATGCCACAACTTAATAGTGGTCTTAAAGCTTGTAAGAAACTATCTCTATTTTATTATAAGTATACTGCCTGATTGTTTAGTCTTATAGTTCTCTAATTACATAACTGTCATTTCCGCTTGTAAATATATAAACGTTTCGCAGCCTGCATTGTAAACCATAAGTCTGATGATGTCTTTGGAATAAAGACGAAATATTACACCATCTTTTGTTTCAAACTCTTGTAATATCTTGAATATTAAGAAAACGAGATGTCCCTCTTCGGAATTTGTTTTATTTTGTATTAGTTGTAACGATAGCAGTTCGTATTAGTGTAAACGGAGCCTTATTATAAATGTAGAACTTTACACGTGCAAAGACAAAAGAAAATAATGTAAAATTCCTCATTATCATTTGTTTTAAATGCATTCAGCACATGCAAGGTTCGATGTTTGAAACGGACGTAAAAGTTTTAATACAAAGTATTTCTTTTGTTCAAAGACATTAAAGAATTAATTATTGTATCTTTGAAAGGTGACATGAACCTGAAGAGCCAATCGAAATAAAAATTGTTTATCATTATTTAGAACATGGCCAAAGCCATTCGGCCAATCAGCATCCAGTATTTTGATGTTCTCTATTTCATAGTGCCTAAAAATCATGAATTGGTATGGGCTTCTTTAAGGCTCTAAGAAAATGCAAAGATGGAGGGAAAACAATGGAATACAACAGATCATTAGTATTCTTTAAATCTCATTAGAAATTCCCTATATAGAAAATACTAATTTGGATATTAGTAAGTATTCTCTAAATAGAAAATACTAATGACTGTAGTAACCCTACAGTGCATATCCGAATATCTAACATGCAGATAAAATCTAAGGCGTTTATAACACATTTTTGTGAAGTAAACAGATTCATATTGCACACAAATTTAAAAAGAAAATAACTCTTACAAACAAATCAGAAAAATTTAATATTGCACTCAAAATTAATAACGAACACACATACTCTATCACTCAAAATTAATAACGAACACATATACTCTATCACTCAAAATTAATAACGAACACATGTACTCTATCACTCAAAATTAATAACGAACACATATACTCTATCACTCAAAATTAATAACGAACACATATACTCTATCACTCAAAATTAATAACGAACACATATACTCTATCACTCAAAATTAATAACGAACACATGTACTCTATCACTCAAAATTAATAACGAGCACATATACTCTATCACTCAAAATTAATAACGAACACATATACTCTATCACTCAAAATTAATAACGAACACATATACTCTATCACTCAAAATTAATAACGAACACATATACTCTATCACTCAAAATTAATAACGAACACATCTACTCTATCACTTAAATAAAAAGACATACGTGTTTTCCCATGTCCAAAACCAAAAAAGTCTTTGTCTCTTGTGTATTTGCAGTGCTGCCACATTTTTGTTTCTCCTCGTCTACCTTCGCTTTCTTTGGACTTGAAACGTCGACTGCAGAAGGTGGTTGAAGTGCATTTGCAATCTGGCATTCTAACAAGACCAATTTACTAAGCTCACTCGTGTCTTCAAATGTACAGATTAAAATAAACGATTTTAAAACTACTGCATAAGGATATTTTATCTTCTAATTTTTGAATTTTATTTGTTTTTCTTACACTGAAACAATAATTGCTAACTGATAATCACTTAATTGAAAACAAGGCATCATAGGCCCGTCCACACGTATCCGGATTCGTTCGTATCCGCAAATATTTTGTTGCGGTAACGCTTATCGTCCACACGTATCCAGCGAAAACGCCTACTATAACTGCAAACTTTTGAAAATGGTCTCCAGAGTGGAAACTTTTGAAAACATATCAAATCCAGACACGTGAGGACACGCTGCAACCGGAATGATCTAAAAATGTTGACGTAAATCGATGAAATATAATATCTACCCACGCCCTTGCTGCCCTAATCCAATCCACATTTATCATGCATTATCCTATGGAATAAAATGACGCCTAAAGTAATTCTTTTGATTTTAACTGTGCTATTTTCGAGCAATGTTGCGTTTATGCGATTTATTTTTGCCGTCTTAAAATATCAAAAGAATTATAGAAAGAGGGAGAGCAGTTTGATATGGCTCCTTTCAATGCCAAAAATATGTGCTTAAGCATTTTTGCTATTTCATATTCTAAAACAGATCTTAAAAAAAGGTCCACTTCATCATCTGTCCACACAAAAGCTTCATTCTTACATTTGATGACCTTGATGCACTAGTTTATGTTGGATAATTCGACATTTTATAGCCAGCTTAGTAATTGGAAAAGCGCATGCTCCGTAAGCAATAATTCCGTATTTGTATCGTTTTCGCAGCTACGTGTGGACACACAAAAACGCATCAAATTTGCATACGTGTGGATGCGTAAAGTTTTGAATCTAGAACAAAATGTTTACAGCTACGTGTGGACACACAAAAACACATCAACTTTGCATACATGTGGACGCGTAAAGTTTTGAATCCAGAACAAAATGTTTACAGCTACGTGTGGACACACAAAAACGCATCAAATTTGCATACATGTGGACGCGTAAAGTTTTGAATCCAGAAAAAAATGTTTACAGGTACAAATGAGTCCGGATACATGTAGACGGGGCCTTAAATTCACTACCATAAATAATCCTTCGTGGCTTTGGCTATGTTCTAAGACGGTTAGAGCTTAATCAATTGTGTCCTATGGGATTAAGAAACCTCGCATTAGATAAAATTCACTCTATCTAATCCTTGGGACTCTTAATCTCATAGAACACAAGTGATTATGCTCTAACCCTTTGAAGAGTAACTCATGTCATGCCGCGCATGGTGGCCGCCATTATTCCAGCAAGATGATTAGGGTTTTTGACTTTTTCCAAACCTTAAAAATGATCCGAAGTCATTTCTTATCGTGTTTTTACCGATTATAACCCTAAATATCTTTTTGAAATATTTTGCTGACGACTTTGAAACTTGGTACGTCTTATTTTCACGCTATAGGCATTACAATAAAATAAAGTTGTCTTCTAGCTTGCATGTGTCCTTTAAATAGAAATAGCTCTTGTCATTTTCTGTTTCCAATACCTTTAAATTTAGGACTTAGGAGTGTTAAAGTGTCAGAGATACCTTTAAGATAATAGTTAAAACTCTTCTACTTCTTCTATAAATAAAACACTTAAGAAATACATGAAGAAATTTGTAAATAGATTTACCAAACGGTGACAGATGTCAATTTGCGCATCAGTGCAAGGTTTGATTACATTCATTTGCAATTGACCGTGCGGGGTGCATAGATGAAATGTTTGTTACAATTTTACAAATTTAAATTATTGATGGCTAAGGCGTACAAGTTAAGTAATGGAAGCTGTAGTTTATATGCAATAAATTAAGCGACCGTAGAGCATGAACAATATGATGGATTTTAGTAGA